ACACACACCCCCTACACTTCCCCACAACACACAGGATGAATTAACGTTTTTTTGGCAATCTGATTAAAAATATTAACTGATATCAAATGAGATGTTTGTCTGCGTGCTGTAGGTGGGTGGTAGATGGGTGGGCGTGGTAGTCGGGTGGGTGGTAGATAAGGGTGGTAGTTGGGTGGGTGGATAAAAGTTGGCCCTGGGTGGATGAGGTCCCTAGGGAAGTGGTGGTAGGAATTTAATAAGTGGAAGGAGTTGGGGAGCCGGAAGGTGGGCGCGAAGTCAGTGGTCGAATTATACTGTATTATACTGTATTATCTCAGATGTAATGGTAACATCCGCTGAGGGAAGCTGAGAGCACTGTACCTACCATGATGGTGGTGAGATATTACAGGAATTTAACCTAACCTGCTTGCTAACAACCTAATGAACTAACCTAACCTAACCTTAACCTTTAACTTACCTCCAATTTATTTAACCTAACCTAACCTCACTTTACGATCAACAGTTTGTATTGTAACTACGCCCTCCCTCGTTCTCCACCTCCCTCCCTCCCTCCTGGTGACCACAGCCAGGGCAGGACAATAGACTACACACTCTTTCGTACAGGGTTAAATACCGTACCTGACACTTAGTACGTTCTTCAGTGACTTGTGGCTGCTACCTTACTACTACTACTACTTCTACTGCTGTTGCTGCTGGTACTACTGCACTACTGCTGTTACTGCTTTTTTTTAACGTGGCCTCCAGCCTCCCCCAATAGCCACACCTTCGCTACCATTTTATTACCTTAATATTAAATATCCAACTACAGTACAACAGTAGCTACCCAGGCTGAGTTAGTTAGTCGCATATCTCTACTGCTACTATTACTACTGATAATAGTAATAATAATAGAGTCGAGACGTATGGGAAGTTGTACAACTATAGGTTAAGGTAAGGTTAGGTTAAGGGTTAGGTTAAGGTTAGGTTAGGTTTAGGTTAGATTAGGTTGGTGTTAGATTGTGTTGGTTAGGTTAGGCTAGTTGTGTTGTTGGGTTGTGTTAGTTTAGGTTGGGTTGTGTTAAGGTTAGGAAGCTGTTGGGTTAGGTTGTGTTGGCTGTTGTGTTAGGTTAGGTTGTGTTGTGGTTGTGAAGGTTGAGGTTGCTAGTTGGTTAGGTTTGTGTGTTGTGTTGATGTTAGGTTAGTGCTTTGTGTTGGGTTTGGGTTGCTGTTAAGGTTGCTGTTAGATTAGGTTGGGTTGTGTTGTGTTGCTAGGTTAGGTTAAGCTAGGTTAGGTTGTTGGCGTTAGGTTAGGTTTGGGTTGTGGTCTGGTTAGGTTGTTGGGTTAAGGTTAGGTTAGTTGAGGTTAGGTTGGGTTAGGTTAGGTTTGGGTAAGGTTGGTTGTTGGGTTAGGTTGAAGATGTTAGGTTGGTGTTTAGATTATGTTGGTTAGTTAGGTTAGTTGAAAGGTTGAAGGTTATGTTGAAGTTAGTTAGGTTAGGTTAGGTTAGTAGTAATGAAGGAGCTAGTGATGACCGAAGCCCCCCTCCTTTCCCCCGCCAGGAAGTATTGTACACGCTGCCAGAGGATGTTATCAAGGGATAGTATTTCTTCTCTGTTATGTTCGGATTATTAAGTACAGTATAAGGCAAGAAATCCTTTGTTCTCAATCTATATACAGAGTTGTGTTTATTATGTGTGTTAAGGTTTGTAGGGATGCACACGCACACACACACACACACACACACACACACACACACACACACACACACACACACACACACACACACACACACACACACACACACACACACACACACACACACACACACACACACACACACATATACACACACACACACACACACACACACACACACACACACACACACACACACACGCACACACAGAGATCAGGCAGAAACAAGTCATCAACGTAAGAGAGTTTTCATATTTTGTGCTCCGTACGGAGAGAGAGAGAGAGAGAGAGAGAGGAGAGGGAGGAGGGGGGGGGGGGGGGGGAGAGAGATGTAAGTACTTCCGCAACATATAACTATAGAAGTGTACCAGACAAACCAGTACACGTATAAGGTTACACACGTACATTACTTATGATATCAGTAGAGGAAGGTGATGTGGTGGGGGTTAATGAGAGAGAGAGAGAGAGGAGGGAGAGAGAGAGAGAGAGAGAGAGAGAGAGTGGTATACTGAAGGTGTGATGAGGAAACCTTCTGTACGTTTAGTTGTAAGGGTTATTGGGTGGTGGGTGGGTGATGTGGTAGGGTGGTGGTGGTGGTGGCGGGGCAGGCAGTCTCCCTCAGTGCCCCGGGTCTCACACGGCGGCGCGGGAACTTCAACGCTGCACAACAAAGAAGCGTCCGTTGATGCTGGCCCAGACTGTTCCCACCGCTGGACCAGACTGTTCCCCACCACCGCTGGCCTAGACTGTTCCCATCACCGCTGGCCTAGACTGTTCCCATCACCGCTGGCCTAGACTGTTTCACCACCGCTGGCTCAGACTGTTCCCACCACCGCTGGACCAGACTGTTCCTCACCACCGCTGGCCTCAGACTGTTCCACCGCTGGCCTAGACTGTTCCTCACCACCGTTGGCCTAGACTGTTTACCACTGCTGGCTAGACTGTTCCCACCACCGCTGGCCTAGACTGTTCCCACTACCGCTGGACCAGACTGTTCCTCCTCACCGCTGGCCTAGACTGTTCCCATCACCGCTGGCCTAGTCTGTTCCCACCACCGCTGGCCCAGACTGTTCCCCACCACCGCTGGCTTAGACTGTTCCCATCACCGCTGGCCTAGTCTGTTCCCACCACCGCTGGCCCAGACTGTTCCCACCACCGCTGGCCTAGACTGTTCCCATCACTGCTGGCCCAGACTGTTCCCACCACCGCTGGCCCAGACTGTTCTCCCACCTGGCCCAGACTGTTCCCACTACCGCTGGCCCAGACTGTTCCACCACCGCTGGCCCAGACTGTTCCCACTACTGCTGGCCCAGACTGTTCCCACCACCGCTGGCCCAGACTGTTCCCACCACCGCTGGCTCAGGTCCACCCTCACCACATATGTTGCCTTGCTAATATAAAGAACCCCCAGAGCCAGCCAGGCACTACCCTGTTAACTCTGCCCTAGTGTAACTAACTCCCTGGGCCCAACTTTTTCGCCTGTGCACCTCAGCTCTGGTGTAAATCCCTTGGCTCTGGTGTAACTCTGGGGCTCTGTAAATCCTGGGCTCTGGTGTAATCTCCCGGGCCCTGGTGTAATCCTCCGGGCTCTGTGTAACCCCGGCCTCTGGTGTAACCCTCTGCTCTGGTGTAAACCTGGCTCTGTAACTTCCCGCCCTGGTGTAACTCGGCTCTGTAACTCCTCGTTCTGTGTAACTCCGCCTGGTGTAACTCTCCCCTGGTGTAATCCTGGGGCTCTGTAACTCCTGGGGCTCTGGTGTAACTCTCCGGGCTCTGTAACCTCCGCTCTGGTGTAACTCTCCGGCTCTGGTAACTCCTGGGGCCTGTAACTCTGGGCTCTGTAACCTCCGGCTCTGGTGCAACCCCGTGTAGGTTGTGACAATGCGTTACTATATCAAAGGTGGAGTTGTGACAATGCGTTACTATATGAAGAGTGTAGAGTTGTGACAATGCGTTACTATATCAAAAGAGTGTAGAGATTGTGACAATGGTCACTATATCAAGAGTGTAGGTTGTGACAATGCGTTACTATATGAAGAGTGTTGGTTGTGACAATGCGTTACTATATCAAAGAGTGTAAGACGACAATGCGTTACTATATCCAAGAGTGTAGGGTGTGACAATGCGTCACTATATGAAGAAGTGTAGAGTTGTGACAATGCGTTACTATAACTATCAGAGTGTAGGTTGTGACAATGCGTTACTATATATCAGAAGTGTAAGTTGTGACAATGCGTTACTATATCAAGAGTGTAGGTTGTGACAATGCGTTACTATATCAAAATTCAATGAGTTGTGACAATGAATTTACTATATCAAAGAGTGTCAGGTTGTGACAATGCGTTACTATATCAAGAGTGTAGGTTGTGACAATGCGTTACTATATCAGAGTGTAGGTTGTGACAATGCGTTACTATATCAAAGAGTGTAGGTTGTGACAATGCGTTACTATATCAAAGAGTGTAGGTTGGTGACAATGCGTTACTATATCAAAGAGTGTAGGGTGTGACAATGCGTTACTATATCAAGAGTGTAAGTGTGACAATGCGTTACTATATCAAGAGTGTAAGGATTTGTGACAATGCGTTACTATATCAAAGAGTGTAAGGTTGTGACAATGCGTTACTATATCAAGAGTGTAGGTTGTGACAATGCGTTACTATATCAAAGAGTGTAGGTTGTGACAATGCGTTACTATATCAAGAGTGTGGGATTTGTGACAATGCGTTACTATATCAAGAGTGTAAGGTTGTGACAATGCGTTACTATATCAAAATTGGCAGAGTTTGTGACAATGCGTTACTATATCAAGGTGTAGGGTGTGACAATGCGTTACTATATCAAGAGTGTAGGTTGTGACAATGCGTTACTATATGAAGAGTGTAGGTTGTGACAATGCGTTACTATATCAAGAGTGTAGGTTGTAACAATGCGTTACTATATGAAGAGTGTAGAGTTGTGACATGCGTTACTATATCAAAATTGTAGGAGTGTGACAATGAGTCCACTATATCAAGAGTGTAGGTTGTGACAATGCGTTACTATAGAAGAGTGTTGGTTGTGACAATGCGTTACTATATCAAGAGTGTAGGGTGTGACAATGCGTTACTATATCAAGAGTGTAGGTTGTGACAATGCGTTACTATATCAAGAGTGTAGGGTGTGACAATGCGTTACTATATCAAGAGTGTAGGTTGTGACAATGCGTTACTATATGAAGAGTGTAGGTTGTGACAATGCGTTACTATATCAAGAGTGTAGGTTGTGACAATAGCAGTAAACATAACTCCTGTACTGACTGACGGAGCTCCTCCCTCTCCGGAAGGCCGTGGCGGCAAGGCAGCGGTGAGCCGGGGGCGAGGGGGACGGCCGCGCTGCCCTGCAGACTGCTGCCTCCCACCACCCACCACCACCACCACCCAGCCAAAGTTAGTAGTACTGTACTACACTCCTCACCCTTCACGATTATCCTCCCTGTCTCCCTTCCACCCTCTTTGTCTCCCTCCTTGTCTCTCTCTGCCCCTGCCTGTCCCCCTCCCTGTCTCCCTCTGTCTCCCTTCCACCTCTTGTCTCTGTCTCCCTGCCTGCCCCCTCCCTGTCTCCCTGCCTGCCCCTCCCCTGTCTCCCTGCCTGTCTCCCTCCCCCTTTCTGCTTCTCCCGTGTCCCTGCCTGTCTCTCCTCCATGCTCCGTTCTCTGCCTGTCTCCTCCCTGTTTCTCTCCGTGTCCCTGCCTGTCCCCCTCCCTGTCTCTCTCCGTCTCCCTGCCTGTCCCCATCCCTGTTTCCTCCCTGTCTCCCTCTCTGTCTCCTCTACCCTCTGTCTCCCTCCTGTCCTCTCCGTCTCCCTGCCTGTCTCCCTCCCTGTCTCCCTCCCTGTCACACCCACTGTCTCCCTTCCACCATCTTTGTCTCCCTCCCTGTCTCTCTCCCTGTCTCACTCCCCTGCCTCCTCCACCATCTTTGTCTCCCTCCATGTCTCTCTCCCTGTCTCCCTCCCTGCCCCTTCCACCCTCTTTGCCCTCCCCCACCTTCGCTCCCTGCCAACCTGACCACTTCCCTACTTCCTCACGCCATCTCCCTTTCACCCTCCCTCCCTCCCTCACTCTCCCTCCCTTCCTCCCTCCATCTCCCTTTCACCCTCCTCCCTCCCTCTCCCTTCCTTCCTCCCTCCCTCCTCCCTCCATCTCCCGTCCTCCCTTCCTCCCTCCCTCTCCCTCCCTCCCTCCCTCCCTCCTCCCTCCCTCCCTCCCTCCCTCCCTCCCTCCCTCCCTCCCTCCCTCCCTCCCTCCCTCCACAAACATAGGTCGTATAGGGTGTTCCTACCTAAGATCATCAACCAACCTTACCTTCCAGGACCTTGTAGTGGTTGTAGTGGTGGTGGTTGTAGTGGTGGTGGTTGTAAGGGTGGGTTTAGGGTGGTTGTAGGGGTGGTGTAGGGGTGGTTGTAGGGTTGTAGGTTGTGGTGGTGGTGGTTGTAGGTGGTTGTAAGGGTGGGTGGGTGGTTGTAGGGTGGTTGTAGTGGTGTAGGGGTGGTTGTAGTGGGTGTAGGGGTGGTTGTAGTGGTGGTGGTTGAAAGGGTGGGTGTAGGGGTGGTTGTAGGGTGGTTGTAGGGTGTAGGGGTGGTAGTGGTGGTGGTTGTGGGAGGTGTAGGGTGTTGTAGTGGGTGTAGGGGTGGTTGTAGTGGTGGTGGTTGTAGGGTTGTAGTGGGTGGTTGTAGTGATGGTTGTTTTAACCAGACAACAGTACCACCCACTACCATTACCACCCTACCATCCACCACCATTACCACCCACCACCATGACCACCCTACCACCCACCACCATGACCACCCTACCACCCACTCACCATACCACCCACCACCATACCACCCACCACCACACCCTACCACCCACCACCATTACCACCCACCACCATTACCACCATACCACCCACCACCATTACCACCCACCACCATTACCACCCTACCACCCACTACCATTACCACCCTACCACCCACCACCATTACTACCCACCACCATGACCACCCCACCACCCACCACCATGACCACCCCACACCCACCACCATTCCACCCACCACCATTACCACCCTACCACCCACTACCATTACCACCCTACCACCCACCACCATTACCACCCACCACCATGACCACCCTACCACCCACCACCATGACCACCCCACCACCCACCACCATTACCACCCACCACCATTACCACACCCTACCACCCACTACCTACTCACCTCTACCACCCACCACCATTACCACCCACCACCATGACCACCCTACCACCCACCACCATTACCACCCACCACCCCACCACCCACCACACCATTACCACCCACCACCCTACCACCCACCACCATTACCACCCACCACCCTACCACCACCACCATGACCACCCTACTGCCCACCACCATGACCACCCACCACCCTACCGCCCACCACCATTGACTACCCTACCACCCACCACCCTACCACCACCACCATGACCACCCTACCGCCCACCACCATGACCATATTTAATGAGTGAGTGAGAGCAGTGTGGGCGGCGGGGGTGAGTATATAGTGGAGGGTACGGAGAAAGGTGTGGTGGGGTGGGGCAGGGGTGGTGGGGTGGGTAGGCGGGTGGGGTGGTGCCGGTAGTGAAACATCCATGCTCAGCCTCCCATAACCGGACCGCTGCTCTACGCTAACCGTCACCATCCATTTATTTACCATCATCCTCCCTCCTTCTTCCCTCCCTCCTCTCACCCTCCCTCCCCTCTCACCCTCCCTTCCCTCTCACCCCCCTACCAGGAGAGGAGAGGACCTTCACGAATGTTATTAAGGCTACACCGTCACGCCAGCTACGGGTTGAGGCAGTGTTTTCTAAGAACTGATACTTTTAATTGTTGCTCTAATGTTACTGTACTGTTTCTTGGTCTGTTACGGTACTGTTCCTGGTCTGTTACCGTTCTTGGTCTGTTACTGTCCTGGCCTATTACTGGTCTGTTACTTATTGTACTGTTTCTGTTCTGTTACTGTACTCTTACAGTTACTTTTACTGTTTCAATACTGTTAGTGTAATGTTACTGTTACTGGTGCTGACCTTGTTACGGTTACTGTACGATTACCGTCACCGTTAGTTTCTGTACTGTTACTTTACTAATACCGTAGTGTTACTGTTACTGTAATGCTACTGTTGCTGTAGTGTTACTGTAGTGTTACAGGGTAAGAGAGGCTGCGACCTTGAAAGGCAGGTGGCCCGTGTGTTGACTCCCGCCCCCGTACACCACACACACACACACACACACACACACACACACACACACACACACACACACACACACACACACACATACTACATGTACAGACAGACAGACACATACATATACAGACTCACACAGAAACACACACACACACACACACACACACACACACACACACACACACACACACATACACACACACACATACTCACATATACAGACACATACACATGCACACACACACACACACACACTACATATACAGACAGACACATACACATATACACACTCACACAGAAACACACACACACACACACACACACACACAGGTCATAGGTGGGTAGGTAGGTAAGGTTGGTAGGGAAGGTAGGGAGAGGGGTGGGGAGGATGAGTGGTTCCGTGTTCCTGACCGTTATCTTAGTTGCATCTGCCTGGCGGAGGTAGACCATAGCGCCCGTGTTCGCCAGACGTATAGAGGCGAGGGTAGCGTGGCGCGAAGAGCCTCCTGTTGTGGCCGCTATCTGCCCGGGGGGTTGGGGGGTAGAACAAGTTAAACACCACCCAGCTTATGTGTCGTACTTACATACATACATACATACATACTAATATATATACTGTATATATAATACATATATATATATATACATATATATGCATACGAATCCATTAAATTTATCCCTTTCTTGTCTTATATTACACCACCACCACCACCACCTCCACCACCACACACCACCACCACCACCACCACACTCCACCACCACCACCACCACCACCACACACACCACACCCCACCACCACCACCACCACCACCACCACCACACCTCCCACACACCACCACCACCACCACACACCACCACCACCACCACCACCACCTACCACCACCACCACCACCACCACCACCTCCCACCACCACCACCACCACCACCACCACCACCACCACCATCACCACCACCACCACCACCACCATCACCACCATCCCACCTCCACACCACCACCACCACCACTCCAGGGTTTCCGGTTATGGACGCACACCGCTGCTTCCAGGAATGTCCATCCTCCGTCCACGCACACCACACACCCAGTACCACCACCACCACCCAGTACCACCACCACCACCCAGTACCACCACCACCATCACCCAGTACCACCACCACCACCACCCAGTACTACCACCACCACCACCCAGTACTACCACCACCACCACCACCACAGTACTACCACACACCACACACTACCCCGTCCACCCACCATTCATCCTCCTTCTCCATCTTCACCCTGAATTACTCTCTCTCTCTCTCTCTCTCTCTCTCTCTCTCTCTCTCCTCTCTCTCTCTCTCTCTCTCTCTCTCATCAGTTGCAGACGGAACTATTTAAGGGCGGGGGTGATAGTGGTGGGGTGAGACCAACACTGGGGCTCTTAGGTTACTCTGGGGGCGGATGTGATCAGCTGACGAAAACTGAACAGCTGAAAGCCACACCCTCGACTCTACAGCCACACCTCGACCTGCTACAGCCACACCCTCGAGTCTGTACAGCCACACCCTCGACCTGCTACAGCCACCCTCGATCTTCTACAGCCACACCCTCGATCTTTACAGCCACCCTCGATCTCCTCTGTAGCCACACCCTCGATCTTCTACAGCCACACCCTCGACCTGCTACCAGCCACACCCTCCCGATCTCCTACAGCCACCTCGATCTCCTACAGCCCCCCTCGATCTTCTACAGCCACACCCTCGATCTCCATACCAGCCACACCCTCGATCTCATACAGCCACATCCTCGATCTCCTTACAGCCACACCCTCGATCTCATACAGCCACACCCTCGATCTCCTACAGCCACACCTCGATCTTCTACAGCCACACCCTCGACCTGCTACAGCCACACCCTCGATCTCCTACAGCCACCCTCGATCTCCTACAGCCACACCCTCGATCTTCTACAGCCACACCCTCGATCTCATACAGCCACACCTCGATCTCATACAGCCACATCCCTCGATCTCATACAGCCACACCCTCGATCTCATACAGCCACACCCTCGATCTCCTACAGCCACACCCTCGATCTCCCACAGCCACACCCTCGATCTCCTGCAGCCACACCCTCGATCTCATACAGCCACACCCTCGATCTCCTGCAGCCACCCTCCATCTTCTACAGCCACACCTCAGCCGCTACAGCCACACCCTCGATCTCCTACAGCATAGGGTGGAGTAGGAGGTGTGGGCGTTTGGTGGTGAGAGGTGTGGGCGTGAGTGAGTGAGGGAGGTGAGTGGTGTGGCGTGAGGTGCAGTGGGAGGTGTGGGCGTGAGGTGAGTGAGGGTGTGAGCGTGAGGTGAGTAGGAGGTGTGGGCGTGAGATGAATGGAATGGGAGGTGTGGGCGTGAGTGCAGTGGTGTGGGGTGGTGAGTGAGGTGTGGGGATGAGTGAGTGAGAGGTGTGGGCGTGAGTGGAGTAGGTGTGGGCGTGAGTGAGTGGAGTGGGATGTTTGGGCGTGAGGTGCAGTGGGAGGTGTGGGCGTGGTGAGTGAGGTGTGGGCGTGAGTGGGTGGGAGGTGTGGGCGTCAGGTGCAGTGGGGAGGTGTGGGCGTCAGGTGGAGTGAGATGGTGTGTGGCGTGCGTGAGTGGAGTGGGAGGTGTGGTGATTGCAGTGGAGGGTGTGGGCGTGAGTGAGATGGGTGAGAGGTGTGGGCGTGAGTGGATGAGTGGTGTTGGGCGTTTGGTGGAGTGAGAGGTGTGGGCGTGAGTGAGATGGAGTGGAGGTGTGGGCGTGAGTTGCAGTGGGAGGTGTGGGCGTGTGGTGGAGGCGCAGGTGTGGGCGTGCATGGTGGGCGTGAGGTGGGTAGGGGGGTGTGGGCGTGGTGCAGTGGAGGTGTGGGCGTGAGTGGTTGGAGTGGGATGTGTGGGCGTTTGGTGGGTGAGAGGGTGTGGGCGTGAGTGAGAGGTGGAGTGGGAGGTGTGGGCGTGGAGGTGCAGTGGGAGGTGTGGGCGTCAGGTGGAGTGAGATGGAGTGGGAGGTGTGGGCGTGAGGTGAGATGGAGTGGGATGTGTGGGCGTTTGGTGCAGTGGGAGGTGTGGGCGTGGGCGTGAGGTGGGTGGGGAGGTGTTGGGTGCGTGAGGTGAGTGGGATGTGTGGGCGTGTGGTGGGTGGGAGGTGGGGCGTGAGTGAGATGGAGTGGGATGTGTGGGCGTTTGGTGGAGTGAGAGTGTGGGCGTGAGTGAGATGGAGTGGGAGGTGTGGGCGTGAGTTGCAGTGGGAGGTGTGGGGCGTGAGTGAGTGGAGTGGGAGGTGTGGGCGTGAGTTGCAGTGGGAGGTGTGGGCGTGGGTGTGGTGGGCGCGAGGTGTGGGCGTGAGGTGGCGTGGTGGGTAGGTGTGGGCGTGCATGAGGTGGGCGTGGGTGGGAGGAGGGGGCGTGCATGAGGTGGGCGTGAGGTGGAGAGGTGTGGGCGTGTGATGGGACACTGATACAGCAGAGAACTTGGCTGTAGTAGACGGTCACCATCACCACTTACCGCTCTGCCTCACCCGCCCCTGCCTCACCCCGCCTGCCTCACCCCGCTTGTGTACCCTGCCCTGCCTCACCTGCCCCTGCCTCACCCCTGCTTTGCCTCACTGCTTTGCTTCACCCTGCCCAACCTCACTGCCCTCACCTGCGCCCTCCCTGCCTCACCACACCCTGCTCAGCCTCACCTGCCCAACCTCACCCTGTCTCACTGCCTCACCCCTACCCCTGTAACCACCAAACCTCCCTGGCGTTACTCCATCTTTAAAAGGATCTTGTTTTCCAACCCTTCAACCCTTTCTTCTACCCTCTCTCCCTCTCTACCTCTACCTGAAGAGGTGCAGGCACCCCCCTCAAGGATACAGCTGTAACTCCCCTCACACCTCAGGCAGTCTCGCTGTAACAATAAATACATAGACGTTTGTTCAGTCACATCGTCACCATACAGGCTTCACTTTCGTCCAGCATGTGCAGTGTGGAGACGATGCAGGTATACAGTTGAGGAGGTAGTGGGCAGCTACCAAACAGGGAGGTACTACCGCCTGAAGATATTGGAAGTATAATGTGTTGTCTAATGGTAGACCCTGCCATTGGCATAGAATTGTGACCAAGTCCCAGGTTGCTCATCTGACTTTCTGCCTCATTTACACACAATTGCAGGGTCTCAACTGTCTCTCTTACTATTGACAACACAACATACATACTGTATATCGTGTCTCACTCTTGATTTTTTTTTCATTTTCGTATTTATTTATTATTATTATTATTATTATTATTATTATTATTATTATTATTACCATTTTATTTTAATTTTTTATTATAATTTTTATTGATTATTAATTTTTAGTAATACTATATATTATTATTATTATTATTATTATTATTATTATTATTATTATTATTATTATTATTATTATTATTATTTTTATTGATTATTAATTTTTTAGTAATTACTATTAATATTATTATTATATTATTATTATTATTATTATTATTACCATTTTATTTAAATTTTTATTATAATTTTTATTGATTCTTCTAG